TTGTACTGGGTGGACTCAGGGCCTGAGACTGCATTTCGTTCCTTCTCTTTGTCATTTTGTATACCTGTCTTCTGACCTTTGGTGTAGAGCTTAGATAGAGTTATTACCTTAGCACCAGGTCCAGATCTACGAAGTTCAGTTTCCTCCAGGTGGGTGTTGCTTGGATCTGGCTGCTGTGCTCCACTTCTTTCTGCTGCAGCTGTTAGAGTTGAACCCTTTGTATCACTCTGTCAAGATGTTCTGCTCCTGAATCAGCTGGGTGGGTCTTGCCTCTAGCCTCTTTGCAGGGAGTTCTGCTGAAGGGTTCCGGCTGGGCCTGCGCTCTGGGTCTATTCAGGACCCCGCGGCCTGGGTCGTCTCACTCACTCCCCTGGCCTGCGCTCTGGGTCTTTTCAGGATCCCGCGGCCCTGGGTCCTCTCACTTACTCGCCGGGTCTGCGCTCTGGGTCTGTGCAGGATCCCGCCGCCTGGGTCGTCTCACTCACTCGCCGGGCCTGCGCTCTGAAAAAACATTTTAAAAATTAAAATATATTTTAAAAATAGGCATAAAGAATTACATAATTCTTATGTTTACACATAAATCCAAAAATCTAACCGTATACAACCTTGTAGCAGGCTTCTGTCAATAATTCTAATCCCTTATTTGGTTATTTTTCTTTGTGCTTGTCTTTGACTCAGTCTTTGCCGATTGTTTACATCTCTTCTATATGATGTCCAGCTGTCTAGGAATCTTCTTTCTTTCCTTTTTTCCCCTATGGTGATATCTCCATTAATATATTCTTGAAAATCTGTTTTCTTACTTTATCATCTTGCTTGATAACCCCCCACCCCACCCACTAGCTTCTCCAGAAGAGGTACAGGGGAGAATGTTTGAAAATATCTTCATTCTTCTCTGACACTTAACCCATAGTTTAGTTGAGTATACAGTACTAAAATAACATCAGTTTTCTTCAAAATTTGAAGGCAGTATTAGACATGTGAAACTTTGTTGTTTTTTTATTATTATTTTTAATGTGTTTATTTACAGGGTCTATAGGATCTTACTATGTAGATTGGACTTGTAGTGATTCTCCCGCTTTCAGCCTCCCAAGCGCTGGGATTACAGGCCCACGCCACCATGCCCAGTCTCAGTGGCCGTCTCAGAGCGCTCCGGGGGCGGGGCCAGCCTGGCACGCCTGGGGATGCAGCCTCTGCTGCTGCGCTCTGCCTGAGCAGGTGCTTTCGTCCGCTGAGCTATGTGGCTGGCCCTCGATGGTCACTATTTTATAACATGTCTCTTACTGTGATCTGCTCTGTGTCTTCTCTGCTTGACACTGGGTTGTGGGTTTCGCTGCCAGCATCCTCACCGTATTGTCTCTCAGGGGACGCAGCTGTGCACCTGACAGTGCTAGTAGTGACTCTGGTCTCTGGGTTAAGGTTGTGTCTGGTGGGCTTCTCTGGAGTAGAGCTAACTACTTTTCTACTAAGTGAATTCCTAAGTCCAGCCCATGTTAAAAGGGGAGAAATTAGCTTTACCGCCTTGACAGAGGATTATCAAGTAATTAGGGGACACATGTTAAAGTAATTAGGGGACACATGTTAAAACTTCCAAAACCCCCAGAGTAACTAACAGACATTTGAAGGAAATATTTTGAGGCTATGCAATTGTCCTTTTTCTCTTTAAAGTCTAACCTACTAAAAATAGCATTCATTAGTAACCTCATTATTGTTTTTCAGCTTCCAGTGTTGCTGCCTGGAAACCCAAAGCCAGCCTAACTTTTGATCTTGGAGTTGGACTTTTTCTAACACAGAGGTTGTAGAATCCCTTTGGTGTGCTGAAATTTCAAAAAAATATACTTTGGCAAGAGACTCTGTTTATCATGCAGGGCCCTCAGTGGGTCCTTTCTGTCTGAAACTGAGGCCTTTCAATTTAGGGGAATTTTCTGAATTATTTCCTTGATTTTTTTTTTTTTTTCTCCTGCCTTTGCTCTTCTGTGGACCTCTCAATATTTGTATTTGGAACTCCAGGACTAGTCCTGTGCTGTTGAACAGGTCCAGGGAAGAGGAGTCAGTGTTTAATGTTTTTCCCCTTACTTTGCTTTTACTTTTTTTGGGGGGCAGGGTCTTGCTGTGTAGTCCAGTGTGGCTTTGAATTTGCTGTGTAGTCCATGCAGAGCTGGAGCCCATGATCCTCTTGCCTCAGCCTCCTGAGTACTAGGATTATAGGCATTTGCAATCACTCCCAGCTTGCTTTTTCCCTCTCTTCTACTTTATGTACTATTTCTCAGCTATATCATTCAATGCTTTTGTTGACTTTTTCATTTAAGCTAGTGTTTCTCTAGTCTCTAGCATCTCATTTTTAAATTCTTGATTTTCAGAATATTTTTTTCTGGTATATGACTCCTTTTTCTTTCCATCAATCTTCTGTCATCTCTTTGAGAATGTTACCCAGGTTTTAAAGTTTTCCAAAAATTTCCTCTCCTTGCTTGTGTCTATGTTTCATGTTGCTAACTTTTCTCAGATAATTTGTAATCTTGGTAAGCTGCTCATATGGGAGTTCTGAGTGTGCAGTCGGGCACAGTGGCCCTCAGTCTCACTGTAGACTGTCCTGGCTGGGTTGCTACCTAGGGATATCTGAATTATGTCCTCTTGGATGCATCCCATTACCCAGAACAGCAGCCTTCATCTGCCCGCCTAGATGGTGAAGCTGTAGCTGTGTGGGAGAGATGACAGGAAGGCAAGAAGCATGCTGAGGCAGGGGGAGCCAAGTTGGGGCCCAGCCAGAGCGACTTAGTGAGACCTTGTCTCAAATGTAAATGGGTGGGAATGTAGCTCATGACAGTGCATGAGTTCAGTCCCCAGTGCTGAAAACGAAATTAGTCCAGTCTTCATATGCCTACTGAATATTTCTGTGCTCGGTATCATTTTGTCTCCTGTTCTCCAGGGAGGACAACGTACATGTTGTTTTTCCAGAAATAAATCACAAAGTTCCTTTTTTTTGGTCAAGCAGAGGAGAGGCCAACACCTAGCCATCGGGAGTAGAGAAGAGATCTGAGTATCTGACTGCTCTTTGAACAGAAGTCCTGTTAATTCTTGTTAGTTTATTGCCCTTTCCCACTTCCAAGCCTATCTGGTATCTCTTACCCTTCAAGGGTCTCGGTGTAAAATAGGCTGCTTCCCAGCTCTTGTTTCTGCTACCTTACGGTCCAGTGCTTTGCTCTCTCCCTTTTCCATTCTGTCAACTCTTACAGATTAGTTATCTTTTGAGAAAAACTCCTTTGCCCTCACATTCGTGGTATTTCATGAAAGAATCAAATTAGATGGGTATGTGTTTAGTCTGCCATCCTGGCATCTCTTTCTCTTTTACTTTCTCCTTTCTCTCTTAGAAAATTAGTAGAGGATCAAATCTTAAACTCTGGACCATCATAAGGACTTGAACTTGGAATCCATGGAATTGCTGAGTGTAGCCTGCTGTAGACCAAGGGGAGATGCAAGAGAGCTGGTCAGGAGACTGTGGAAGTACATCAAGAGGCAGCGCAGGCCAGGCTCATAGCAGCAGAGGTCCGTAGGGAAACATTTTGACACTAAGAAGTACTGTTTACATGTCAGGTATCGTTATTGTTACTGCTTAGCAGAAACGTCCCTCACACAGGGGACAGTTTAGGGCAGTGGAAATGCATTAAAAACAAGGGTTTAGATGTACAAATGATAACATGGACAGATGTAAAAACAACACTTGGTGAAAAAAGTAGCAGATGGAATGGGATATATAACATATAAGTCAATTAAAAAGCCAGCACCCTGAAAATGAGAACTCACTTTGTGAAAAGACATTGAAATACCCAAAATTATGTTAAACACATTAAAAAGCCTTCCTACGGGGAGGAGAGTTGTAGCAGTGGTATATAGGAGAAAGGGAAATGAATAAATGAAACAAGAAATGTGACAAGGGAGGGTGGAGCTTCAGGATTTGCAGAGAACTAAGTTCAGTCTTAGGTACTCAGCTTTGCTGGGGACAGTGCCTATAACTCTTGGAACCCTAGTTCCTACCTGTGTAGTATAAGGTAGTAGTTATTTTTTACTTTGCCATAAGAATTGAGACAGTCTATGCATGTGCTGTAGCATGGTCTTAATACACGTGAGATACCTTTTCCCCCTGTAGTTCTTCAGCAGTGTTAACTGTGGAAGGAGGATACTTGCTTAAGGGAAAGTGCATGCTGGGTTCTGGGAATTATGCTTGGTCTTCATACATTTTAAACTTGTTTCTGCCGTTCTCTCAATGCAGGGCTTGCCACCCAGAAGATGGAAGGCAGAAGGGACCCACCTGAGTTGCCCAGCGCCCACCATGTTTGCCTTCTCAACGGCTTCTCGTTGCCCTCATTGCCCTCTGGCACCTCGTGGGAATTCTTTGCGGGAGATGTGGATCGCAAGCTTCCAGCAATCCAGAAAGGAAGCCCAGGCGCTAAGGTGGCTGGTTGAGAGGAATCGAAACTTTTCAGCTCAAGAATTCTGGGCCCTAGTTTTCAAAGACTAATTTCAAAATGGGTTACAGTGTCTTAGACTTGAGGAGGTTTATTTTCTAGGTTGCCTTAATATTTGAAGATGATAGCTATTTTGTTGACTATCCTTGTGGATGAAAATTAATCGCTGCAGTTTTCAGAGCTCTATCAAATAATAGATATGAATTATTCTTACAGGTTGCCTCTGTATTTTTTTTTACACTAAAAAGTGAATATTTTTTATGGCCACAGATGGTCTCCAGTTTCCATGTGTAGACTCATGTTCTAGCTGCGTTTTGTGGACATTCTCCCAGGGTACAGCGGGTGTTGCCCTTGCTGCAGTGGAGCTAGAAGATCTCACTGTGGCTTGTTTGGTGCCCATCTCACCATCAGCAGGCAACGTTCGGCAAGCCCAGTGCCTCGGTGCCAAGTGTGAGCGTGAAGTGCACCAGATCTTGGCAGTGAGAGAGTCCATCTGTTTGCTTCCAGGGATGCCAGTAAGAAAAGCTGTGTCAAGCTTATCTGCCATCCACTCTTTAGCAATAATAATAATAATAATAATAATAATAATAATAATAATAATAATCCTGGACAGGATGCCTGCTTTCTTGATACTCTTCAGTCACCACTTTAGCCTTTTTAATATTCCCCTTGCCTGGTGGCCTGATGTTTTATTCCAAATTGGTAGGTCACATAGAGATGTAGCTCCTCTGTGTGTGCTTTGTTTTTGGAGACAAGATCTTACTATGTACCCCACAGCTGGCCTTGAACTTGCAGTCCTCCTGCGTCTACCTGAAATGCTGCAACTGAAAGCATACATTACTGGACCTGGCCTCCTTGTGTTTTGATCAGGGAGATGTAGATTGTTCCTTATACTAATGAATGATACTAATTGTCTGAATGGATCTGGCCAGCTTGTAGGTTTCAATCAATGTAAGAGGGGAAATGAATATTCCCAAGCACTTTTGTTAGTTGAAGCTAATTTGTAGACTGATAGGCAGCCCATTGTGATGGGCCTTCCACAGCTTTCAATTTGTGAGCATTTCCTGCTTTCTGATCCTTTCACAGAGGAGGTTTGGCTGTCTTGTCTGGGTGTCTCCTGGAGGCCCACAAAAGACAAGGAGAAACAATACTGGCTCACATTTTCTTCTATGCAATGGTGGTAACTTGTATTTGACACTGTAGCCTGCTACACCTAATGTGTCATGGCTCCTGTGCCATGTACTATGGAAAGGTGGTAACTTCTATTTGACACTGTAGCCTGCTATAGCTAATGTGTCATGGCTCCTGTGTCATGTACTATGGAAAGGCACAGGCCACAGTGGGGACCCAGAGGACACAGCCTAGGGGAAATTTCAGAATGTTCTCCAGCTGCCCTTTTATTGCCTGCCAGTGCCACTGTCCTACCTGCCCTAGGCAGTGTCTTCACTGTGGAGCCCTCCTCTGGCTATGGCAGCCAGGGGTGAGGAATCAGAGCCAATCCTGCACCTTCCTCAGGAGCAAGAAGGACCAGATTGCTGGCCTAGGTTCCCCCCAGTCCCAGATATGCCATTAATTGTGATCTTAGACAAAGGTTTTAACCTCTCTGGGCCTTAGTTTTTACATCTGAAAAGAAATGATGGGGCTGGACTTTCACATTGTTTCTATGTAACATTCTTTAATTTTTCATCAAAATTTAAGATGTTTACTATTGTAGTTTTTTGTTGTTGTTATTGCTAAGACAGCAACAGACTAGCTCAGAGCAACTGTATGTAACTCAAGGGACGAGCTCTTCCTTGGAGAAGGGTGGTGCTTGCTTGTAGTACTGGGGATGGAGGAGACTGTATTTCTCTGCCATTTTACCTGATGTAACCAAAGTAGGAAAGCTTAAAAAGGGAGATTATTTGTTAAAGGTCAAGTTTTAAATGATATACTAAATAAGATGGGGTTTCTGCACATGGAAAGAAAGCCCATCCAAGAGGTCATTTTTGCCTATGAGAAGATATCTTAGTAGATTCAGTTCTGCACACATGCCTACTTAAGCTGCAGCGTTCCTGTATTCTGTTTTTGCTTCACAGTACCAGGGATCAGTAAGCTGTGGTGTATATGCAACATACGTGTCCTATACTCCCTGTTTCATGCAGTCTTGTTCCATCCTAGTTCTTTATCAAGAATTCATAGGTAAATTTCTCCCCAAACTTTTTTGAAGTATAAAGCCATAAACAAATTCAGTGAAATAGAATTATTGATTGTTTAATACAGTATAAAAGCTTTTTAGGGTAGGAGAATAGAAAAGAGGGTGTCCCATGGATTGTAAAATAGTTGTATTACAAAGAAAGCAACTTAAAGGTTCACTGGGATTCTGTGAATGTGGATTTGAGACTTGACTTTTCTGGCTTAGCGCGTGATTCTTCTGTCGCAGGGATTTCACTGGGAAAACAGTGCCTTCCTGCTTCTGACAGCCGCTGTTAGAAGTGTGCCCCCATGATAGCAGGGTTCTTTTCTGCAGATGCAAGATGTACTTTATGAATGCTTTAGTATTTTCGTCTGGTCTCTTGGCTCCCTCATATAATGTCTTTCTGTTTGCTCTTCCATGTTTGTTTTGTGAAGTGTGACTAAGCCAGTGACCTGCCTTGTGGCCTCTCGCGAGGAACGACCGAAGGGTATGAAGCTTTCATGGTGTGACAATTTGATTCATGCTTCAGTACATTTCGCTCAGGTTGTTCTCGAGATTCGCTCTTTTTGTTGTTACCGGAGATTGAACTTGGGACCTTGCTCCTGGCAGCCAGGTGCTTACGCTGCGGAGCTATCTCCCTGGCCCACACTTGGACTGTTCTCAAGGATTTTCAGAACAGTACAGTAGGGTAGAGAGAAATCTTTACAAAGTTATTGGAGAAAATGATGACTAATGCTCATCAGACAGTTCAGTTCTTCACCTGAAAATGGAGGCAACTTTGACGTTTATCCAGGTAACAAACTTATTTTGCAGAACCCCAATACTGTCTCATTTCTTACTATTAATGACTAATTTCTAGTAAGTACACATCAGTTGGGATATTCTCATTAGTAACAAATTGGATGCATATAGTATGCTGTGTACTATTAAAAAAAAAGACAAGCAAAAACGAGTAGCAGTTTCTCAGTCTACATTGTATATTATACAGAGGAGAACTAGCTCACTATCTGTAGAACATTTTATGAATCCAAACATACTATGGACCTAAGCTTGAAATGCTTAGTGTAACATGCATTTTGAAAAGTCATTAGTAAGGCATGAGTCTGGCTAAAGATGACAATTCGAGAAAAGAATTCTGTTGTCTTATTCTGTTACAGCAGTACCATGAAGCAAGTTGCTTACAAACAGCAGAAACTTATTTCTCGCAGTTTGGGGGGCTGGCAAGTCCAAGTCCTAAGTGTCTGCAGACTTGGTGCCTGTAAAGGCCTGCTTTCTGCCTCACATATGAAGTCTTGCTGGGACACTGCATAGTGGAAGAGATAAAGGAGCTTGCTGGGGTCTCTTGTATGGTCACTCATCCTGTTCACAAGGACTCCACCTTTATGACCCACTTACTCTTGAAAGACTTCACCTAATCCTGTTATGATTTTAACGTGTTAATTTGGGGTTTAAGAGAATTCCAGTTGCAGCATTCTGCTCCTCAGCCCTCTGAAATTCTTCTCCTTCTCACATGCAAAATATTTTTGAGGCATCCAAACAGTCTCCAATGTATTAAGTTGTTCCAGCATCAACTGAAAGGTCTCAGATCCAGTGTCTCCTCTGAGTACTGTCTAAATCGTATGTGAGTGAGTTCACGATGTGCTTCATCTGGAGACAGATTGCCCTTAAGCAGTGAAGCCAAGTAAGTTATGTGTATCATAAATATTGTGGTGGGATAGGCATAAGATACATACACCCATTCCAACAGGGAGATATGGAAAAGAAGCGAATGTCCTGGAGGAGTCCAAATTATAAACTTGTTTTGGCTCTTAGTGCTCTTTTTTTCCATGAACAGTAGGATGGAAACCTCAGCCCCAGGCCTGGTGAGGCAGCTCCTTCCAGCTTTGCATGCAAACCTCTTCCCTATGCCGTACTTCTCCCTGGTTGGGGTGTTTGCTCTTGGCTGCAGGCCTTTGAAACCTAGGTGGAGATGGCTGTGTTCTCTGGTTCTGTGTTGTCTGTGTACCTGTGGAGACCACACTGCAGGGACATCGTGGAAGATGCCTGTCTGCTCCCTCAGGAGTGGACTGCACTGCTCCAGGGTACTGGTGCCTGCCAGAGAGGCTGAGAAGCACTGGGCGTCGTTGCTGGAGTGAGGGCCTTGATGAGCAGCGGTGCTGAGTAGCATTGCCCCAGTCCAACAGATGGCACTGCTTCCCTTCTGTGAAACTGCCCTGTCCCCTCTGTGTTCATGTGCTCTGGATGGTGGGTGTGTGATGGCAGGAGCAGGTCGAAGGTCCTCTCAGTCGTGTTCCCGGTTCTTCAGCCTTTGTTGTGGAGAACAGCCCCTGGCTTCTTCGGGCATGGGTGATGCGTACTAGTCTCCTTTGGGCACACTCTTAGTGTTCTTTTTTTCCACTGTGGCAGAGAATGTTCTAAGTGTTTGAATTGTTCTTTGTACTTAACAGTTCTGTCTTTGAGTTACTTCTTCTCACATTACAAAGAGTCAAGAGAAGCCAAAACTGCATCTTCAATACCTTGCTTAGAAATAGCTTCAGTTAAATATTCAGTTCTGTTACTCATAATATCTGCTCTCCATGAAACCCTGGAATACAAACATGATTCTGCCAGGTTCTTTGTCATTTTATAGAAGAACCATTTTCCAATAATGTATTCTTCATGTACATGAGACTTTATCAGATGGGCTTTCCCTAAAGTTCGTGTTACTTGAAATCTTCTGTTCAGGATTACAGCAGTGTTATGGTTTAGATCGGAAATGTCCCCCCAGAGTCTTAGGTATTCAGAGATGAGGGTTGATGGGGCCAGGGGGTGCTGTGTTGATCAGTTGGTCCCCTGATGAGTCCATAGCTGGTGTTCTAGGAGGTGGAGCCTGGTGGGAGAGGTGGCCACTGGGGGTGGGACCTGGAAGGGCATGGTCTTGCCCCAGCTCCTCCCTTCTGTTTCTCAGCTGCTTTTTTTTTCCTGCCATGCCCTTTCCACCATGCCATTCTTCCTTGAAGCCAGCTATGGACTGAATTCCTCCCAAACTGGGAGCTAAAATAAATCTCCCCTTCTTTAGGTTGCAGATGTCAGGTGTTTTGTACCAGCAATAGGAAGGTGACTGATACATGATGTACTCTCTAAGAAAATTGAGGCTTTCTTTGTGGCTCTCCTCTTTTCTTTCTGAGCCACCATCAGAATTACCTCCCCCTCCTCTTTTTTTAAACAAGGAATTGAGCTCAAGCCCTCACACTTGCAAGCCAGGTGCTATCACTGAGCTAAACCCCTGGCAGGATTACCCTTAACTACTTGTTATGGTTATGTCTAACTGTCCCACCCCAAGCTTCATACACTGACAGATGGGGCATTTGCAGAGGTGGCTGAACCTAGACCATGTGATGCTGGGATTGATTCCTGGTGCAATGTGAGGATGAAGGTCACTAGGGCTAAGGGTGTGAGCGGTACCTGCCTTAAGTAGCCTGGGTAAGAAAGAAGAGAGAGAAAGAGCTGTGGTTGTCTCCCTTGTTGCTTTACTACCTGCTGCCTGCTGGGAGCTGTGTCTCCTCTGGGATGCTCCTCTGCCATGCCACCTTACTTTGGAGCCAGCCAGCTAAGAACTGAAACCTCTCCAAACTGTGAGCCAAATAAACTTTTCTGCCTTGAACTTTGGTTGTCAAGTGTTTTGTCTCAGCAACAAAAAAAGTAACTAAGACACCATTCATGGTAATGTAGGCTTTTCTTTTTGAAACTGTCTCATTGATACTTCTTTCTCAATGAAATTAACATAAAAAATTAAAAAGAATGCACCACCAAGCCTTTGCTTATTCTAAGGGAGCATCTACATTTTAAAGTATTTTTACATCTGACTCATGATACCAAGTTTTGGCTAGTCCATCTGGGTCACTGTAACAGAGTGCCATACACTTGCTGAATTATAAACAATAAAAAATTATTTTTCACAGTTCTGAAAGCTGGGAAATACACAGTCAAGGTATTATCATATTGATATCTTCAGAGAACTTACTTTCTGGCTCATAAATAGCTGTCTTCATGCTGTGTATTCACCTGCTAGGATGGATGAAGGAAAACTCTGTGGCTTCTTAAAAGGGCACTAATCACATTTGTGAGGATCTCACACTCATTACTTCACCTCAGAAAGGCCCTACCTCCTAATGTTGTCACGTTGGATCTGACTGTCAACCTTCTAATTGGGGCAAAAGGACATGAATGAAAAGCACCAGTGTGGAGTTGGTTTTCAGCCAATAAAGTTGATTTGCCCTCAGCCAGGGTGGGCCTGGCTCTGCAGAAGTTACATACATCTTTCTTGGGTTCTTCAAAGTATACAGTGAGGAAGGTCACAGACAACATATAATGATTCGTTGATGTCTCGGGTAACTTTGAAGCCTGAATATTATATATAGAATGTCCTCACCTGCTTGGAAATTTTTCCTTTTAATTTTTGTTATTTTATATTATCTTTATAGCATACTTCTGTCAATATTATAGCAACAAGGGAGACAACCATAGCTCTTTCTTATTACAGAAACTCAAAAATACTTGAGAAACAGGGAATTCAGAATTATGAACTATGAGTGGAGAATAGAAAAGACCTTTTGCTTTTCTAAGCTTTATTTTCTCATCTATGAAATGAATATTTTAATACCTACTATCACATTCAGTGTCCTTGTGAGGAATTATTAACTAAACAGGTTAACATTCCTACTCGGCTCAATAAATGCTGGCTGTAGTGGATGCAGCTGTCTGTAGCCACTAACCTTTGATTTTTGAAGGCCTTGTTTAAAATTTGTCCTGCAAGGAGGAATGAGTAATGATGGTACCTGGGGTGATACCCTTCTGTTCCTTATTAGTTACTTGATACATATTTATTGAGTGCTGTGAAGTAGGTATTGTGCTAGGCACCATAGCTGATGTGAATAAGACAGAAGAGAGAAAGTGTGAAGGGTTCTGGGCAACGCTTTGAGACTTTATGGTCTGGTTGAAACCAGAGACCAAGGGGATGCACAGATGGATCCGCTCCAGCAGAGGATTCCTCAAGGGGTTTGCACACAGTTCCCAATAGCATAATGATGACACCAAACCAGCCTTCTTTATAGTAGCTATGCAAACCTGAATGAAGCCCATGCAGTCGTCTCTGCAAAAGCTTGGTTGGAGCTGCGATTCAGTCCTGAAGGCTGAGGAGGATCTTTGGCTGCCTTTCCATTTCCCGGTTCTGATTCTTAGAACTGTTCACTATGCTACACCAGGAAAGTGGAGAGAAAAATGAAACTTTTGACCCTGCTGACTCATTATGTGAAGATCAATAAAAGGCGGAAGAAGAGAAACCCGATTAGGGCTTCCCTGAGGAGATGACCCTGTCTTGCTGTCTGTATGATATGGATGTGAGACCGTAGAGTGGCGTGTGGCAGTTTGCTTTTAAGCCCTAATATAATGACCTCAATGGCTATCAAATGTGGCCCCATTAATTTCCTAGGCTCCAACTTCCCAGATGCACAACTGCAGTGATGCTGGTGATAGGGTTTGTTAGGGAGATCCGGAAGAGGTGTGGGAGGGCTGGAGAGATGCTCTAGGATTTTGATCTGCTCAACTCCCAGGGCCCAACGGGCAGTCCTATGGTCAGTCTGAGCTGTAGTCCTGTGCTGCCGACAGCTCACCAGTCACGAGCAACAAAAGATCGTTCATCTCTTGGGGTTTTGTCCTGATTATCTTCTCTTGCTCTTTTGAACAGTGATGTAAGCAGTCTAATGATTATTTCTGAAACTTCTTAAGTGAGTCAGATTGGACATTGATTAATGCCCTTAAGGCATTTTGAGCATTAAGCCAAATATTTGTTCCTTATTTATTATGCAGTATGTGACCACATCACTGAACCTACTGCCCAGAGGAGATTGTACAACCACCCAAAAGACTTTAAAAATATTCAAACTTTTACTATTATAAACACCTTAATTTTTAGAAAAAAAGTTGAAAAACTATGAGGTTGAGTATGGGATGATATTAATGGCTTTAAGGCAGGGCTTTTGCACAAGGGCCCTTTAGGGTGAAACTAAGACCTTGCTTCTTATATACAGAGTAAACTCACTTGATAAGTCTGCTTACAGGGAAAAATACAATTTTATGTAAAAGTATCTCAATGAAACAATAAAAAGGATTAATTTTCTTAAGTTCTAACTTTTGAGTGCATCTTTTTCAATTTTTGTGACAAGACTGGTGCTTCTATATACAGAAATTTCCACTCCACATCAAAGTATGCAGAAGCCTTGAGAGAAAATCCCTGTGTGATTGTTGTGAGCTTTTAAATCCTAGTATAACGACCTCAGTAGAACACATTTTTTTCTGGAACATCATTTTTATGCAGAAGAACATCCAGAACATGATGCTTGTCAGTCTTGGGCTTTTGTCGGTAATTTTCGCAGCCACAAAATCCGTCCATCACTTCCAGAGATACATAGAATTTGTCCCCAGTGAAAATTGAAAATTTGGAAAACTAATACATACCATTTTGAGCCTGACAACCCCATAATACCTAGATTTTCTTGATGAGGTTTGTTGTAATAGTAACAGGTGCTATTTTGACACTGAATAAAAGCACTAACAGACTGTTCTGTGTTTGTTGTTTGTTTTTATATTTTTAAGAAAGGAAGAAATAGTATATACCAGAAAGAGTTTTCAAAACAGTAAGACGTATTTTTTTAGTTGAAAAGTTCCATCAATGAAGGCTTTTTAACCATATTAAAATTGATGACTTGAAAATTGCAGTAAAAAAGGTGATAATCATAACTATCAATGTGGAAAATTGGAAAGTAAGAAAAACATGACTTTAGCAATAAGAACACTTGAAAAATAAATTTAACTATAGTTTATTTTTTCTTTTTTGTACCAGGGGTTAAACTCACAACCTTATGCTTGCCAGGCAGGCACTTATGCTGCTGAGTTATCTGCCGTGTTTCTTTGTTTCTGCTATTTGTTTTTACTCTTCAAAATAAAATAAAGTATTTTTTAAAAAGAAAAATAAATGTATATCAAAGTACTGATCATTGTTTTGAGTCAAACCTAGAATTGATAAAAAAATTTAATTATTTTTATTGAGCATTTACTGTACGCCAGGAAATTTCGGGAGCTATTGGGATACAAGCAGTGAATATAATAGACAAAACCCTGTTTCTAATGAGGTTCTAATTGTACTGGGGAATGAAAAGCAAAATGCTTTAGCAAAATGTAAAGCACTTCATGAAAGCTTTTGTTGCTTTATTTTGTAATATCCTTACGAGACACGACTTACGTATTACTCTACCACTCCATCTGAAGTGTGTAGTGTGATATAAACAGGTTACATTTATAGAGTGTATTAAATGGTCTATATTAATAATGATGTATTACAAATATTAAAACTTCAAATTGGAAGTGGGTTGGCAAATGTAGAAGCAAATCGTTTTTCCCTTCTTCTCATCCTGACCCCAGTATCATTCCTGTTGTCCAGGAAAAGATGGCATTTCTTCTGTCAGCATTGGGTAAGTTCTCACAAGAGTAAGAACTCAATTCTTGGGGAAGGGAACTAATCAGGGGGAGCCAACAGGGCAAGCAGTTCTGTTCTTTTTCCCTTAAGTAAGGAGGCTGGGATGAGTCGGTGTTTACTAAGCTACAGGGCCTCGAAAACAGAAGTCTCATCTTACAGGTTGTGTTCAGTCACTGTGTACACAGTTCACATAGCATCAGTAAGAAAAATGATTTGCCACTGAAAGAAACCTATTAGTCTGAGAGAGTGTGGGTTACTTAGGTGAGCATCTTTAAGTGTTAGGGTATAGTCACAGATGTCTTCTCCTTCCTGTTTTCTTGGCCTGAACTTCCAACTTCAGTATGTAGTTGCCATGGAAGAGAGAGAGAGCACAGTGAAATGAACTGGGCTTCCTTTGGCACCCCCACCCCGTATTTATGTGTTTATTTTATTTAGTAATGATTGATTGAGTATGATACTGGGGATTGAACCTAGAGTTTCACACATCCTAGGCAAGCCTCTGCCTCTGGGCTGTGCCCTCAGCCTTTATTTATTTTTTAAAATTTTATTGAGACAGACTCCTGCAAAATTCCCCAGGTTAGCCTCAAATTCGTCATCTTCCTGCCTCAGTCTCTTAAGTGGTTGGAAATATAGGTATGCACCACTGTATCAGCCGCTTAGTTTATTTTTGTAGGAGCTCTAGGGATGCTATTGGAAACACATTTTGGTAATTTTTATTAAGAATGGATCTCTCGGTGCCCTTTAGCAGGCTATGACTGTGATAATAGAGTGATCCTGCAGTTTATCATCCAAGTTGAAATATTTTGAGAGTGAAAAGAGGTGATGTCAGTTAAACTAGGACAATAGGAATGAACTGCCCTATGCTTTAGGGGGTATCAGGAGCACAGAGTACTTTGGAACCACTGCTCAAAATAGTCTCTCAGGATGGAGTGCTGGGATAAGGAAAAGGTAACTGATGTTTCATGAGGGTGTAGATGTAGTCATTTATAATGACACTTGATTATCATCACCATCACCATAGAAGGTATATAGTTTTTGCTTATCCTTGAATTTATAATATAAAGCACAATTCAACCATGTTAAGGTGAATTTTAAACTTTTTGGGCTTTTTTTGAGCAAAACTTATGTAAGATTGACCAGTACACTGTCTGACTAGTGGTAAAGAGCCCCACATGTCCTGGGTGGAGATGACTTTGCTGTACCAGGAACCTC